ATCCAAGGCGCCCCCGCGCCCGCCACGCGTCGCCCCCGCCTGCTCTCTCCTGCGCTCTCCTGCGCTCTCCCGCCGCTCTCCCGCGCCCCTGCACTGCGCCGGCCGCTGCCGACCCGCTGTTGGGGGCGCTCACCCTCTTGGTGGCACTGCCTTCCTTGGCGGCTGGGGTTCCGCCGCGGCCGGGGTTTTGCTGCCACATGCTGAGGCGGCCGAGGGGCACGACGACAAGAAATAACACGCCACCGTCCCGGCCCCACCCCCGTCCCCGCCGGGCCCTCGCCGTCGGCGCGACAGCCGCGCCGCCGCCAGGCGCCGCAGGGCCCTGCGGTCAGCCGTCGGCCCGGGGCCGCGCGCAGCGGCAGCGCGGGGCGCGGCCGCGCCAGCAGGCCTGCCTGATCCCGCCGCCGCGGCCGCGGTGTCGCGGCAGGGCTTTCCAGCCGGTCGGTCTTTCCCCCCTTCAATTCGTGTCGAATGATCTGGTATGCGGGGGCCGCCGCCAGGGGTGCGCACGCGCGCGCCGCGGGCGCCCCTGGCGGGCGCGCCCCAGGGATGCCGCGGCCGGCGCCGCCCTGATTGGCTGCGCCGGCCGCTGCGACTGCGGGCCCTCCCTTTCTGGACGGGGCGCAACCCTCAACTGTTGGGGTTGCGGTGGAATATGCAGAGAGCCATTCGCCGGGGCGGCCCCGACGAGGCTCCTTGGTTTGCTTGTCATCGCGGCTGCGCCTGCTTTTATCGCGTCCCACCTTCCTGCACCTGCCGAGCCGGCCGCCCGCGGCGGCACGCCGTGGCGCCCAGTCGGGGCCTTTTGGGTGGCGGCGGCACTGTCTGCTCCCTCCAGTTGCGGCCCTCTCGCGATTGCGTGCCTGCATTCTTATGCATGCTCCCGCGCGCCGCGACTTCCACCCGCGCTCGCACGCACACACACTTGGATGCATGGTCGGCACTTGAACCTGGGTCAAAGCGAAGCGGCCACGGCGGCGGGCCCGCCGTCGCGGCCCGCACCCCGTCTTGCACGCGCTGCTGCCGCTGCGGGTGTCGCCACCATCACCGCCGCCGCTGCTGCTCATGGTGCTGTGGCTTTTGGCGCAGCGCGCGTGCAGCCCTCGTCATACACGTGGGCATGGGGCGCAATCAGACCCTACCCTTCCAGCTGTAGGGGTGCTGGCGCACGGCAGCAAATGCTTGCCGGCAGCGGGTTTTCTTGGGCGTCTAGGCCGCGTCATGTATCGCCGGCCTGCCCTTTCTGGGGAAAGGGGAACCCCACGCGTGGACACCGGCGAAACGCCGGCAACAGGCCCGGGCCCGCACCGACGGGCGCGCGCCGGCATCTTTGGCGCGCGGAGCGCTCTCGCTGTGCTGCGACCAATGAGCTGCATCTGCGGGCACGTTCCCCGGCCTCGTGTACGCCTTGACCAGCTGCCTTGATCGCGTCCATAGGAGTAGTCGTCGCGCGTCCGCCTGTGTAATACTGCACTGGCTCTCGGCCGCAATCACGCAGGGCCCTCCCTGCCCACCCCCTTGGACACCACCGAGCGACGATGACACGCGGCGGCTGATGCTGCTGCCTCTGCACATCAAGCCTGCCGTTAGTGGGCGGATCACAGCCACTGGGCGTCGCACCTGGCGCAAACTGGCCCGGGGGTAGCAAGGCGGCAAGCTTGGGACACGAGGTGGAAATATGCCCACATCAGCTCATCCGTATCTGCTGATAGTGATTCATATGCGCCGACAGGGACTGAGGGGCACTGGGCTTGCACAATTTACATTCACACAATCATGGAGGGGCACGTGCAGACGGAGAGAAGGAGAAGCCTTCCCTGCAGTGCTCTGATGCAAGCGGTGCGTGCGCCTCAACAGGAGGGTGCAGCAACTTGCTGCATTCACATGGACAGCAGCTTCACAGTTTGTGTCGGCAGGAAGGAAGGGTCAGGTTTTCTGATTTCATTGTTTAGCTGTTGTACTGTATGAACCACAGCCACAGCTTGCCAGAGGGGCAGCTGGCCGTCACAGAGGGTGCAGCCGCAAGAGTGATGTGTGCGCCGCACAGGGCGTCTTGCAGCAGAGGGCTGCACGGAATGACCTGCAATTTACGGCACAAGGCCGCCTGCCGCCGCCGAGGACAAAAACTTAGGTGGCTTTGCAGGCTGATCCATGCGCACAGAGTAGAGGATGAAGATGGAGTGGTTATCCAGCCTGCTGTCCGGGGGCCTGGTGCCCCTGCCCCCCATGCAGCGAGGTTTGGTGTCTACTCGACGCACCGCACCCATGTCGGCTGCTCGGCACCCTCTCCTGCATTCAAGGCAGCAACCTTCAGACCCCCGCCATCACGCCAGCAGCCGCCGCCCCGCGCCCGGCCTGACCACCGGCGCGGCCCCCGCCCTCTTGCCGCCCGGCGCGCCCGCGGCGGCCGACGAGCCGAACACGGCGTCATAGGCGCCGACCCACGCGCCCGGCTGCGACAGCCCAGCGTCGCTGCTGCCTGAGGGGGCTTGGGCGGCGCTGACCGCATACCAGAGCTCCCCGTCAAAAAACTGTGGAGGGGGGCGGGCCAGGCACACAGATGCGGGGGTCAGCAGGGATGTCAACGGCCGCTGGGTTGTAGGTGGGGCGCAACTGGGTCGCAGCTGGGGTGCAGCACGCGCGAGGGGTGTGAGCAGCATAGCGGCATTGGGCAAAGGGCGACAGGGTGGCAGGCAGCCCCGGCGCCCAAGGCGCACACACGCGCAACCAACAAACAGCTGCAGAGGGGGCATGGCGGAGCCCTCCGGGGTGCGTTCCGAGTGAGAGTTCGCACAGACACGCTGACAGCGCATGATGTCAGCAACAGAGCTACACACATAGAGGCATGCATACCCACAACAACCGCGCCCGGCCGCCTGCCGCTGGCCCTGCCCCGCACCTGGGCCGAGCTGTAGAGGCCCCACGCCACCAGACCCTCGTTGTAGGGGTCCTCCACCGCGCCGTCCCCCGCCATCACGCGCAGCACCCGCTGCTTGGGCACGCCTGTGGTGCCTGCCACGCTGACACAGACGCCTGGGATGGAGCGCAGAGAAAGGGGCACACAACTGGCATCAGTCAGGGCTGCAAAAATGGGGGACGGAGGCCCGTGTGCATGCTGGCAGTGAACCAGCGGGGTACACGAGTGCGGACCGGGTAAACCGAGCATGCAGTGCTGCCTGGCTCTGGCAGTCCGGCGCGTCTGGACACCCGAAGGTACCAGAAAAAACAACGGCTCGGGAACGGCTACCAACCAAGCCCTACACCCTGAACCCTGGACCCCGAACCGCAAAAGGAGTAGGCCGGGGCGCACCTGCATACATGGGCGCCGCCGCCGGCGCGGGCGAGCCGCACGCGTACGCCAGGTGCACGCGCCCCGCCGGGTCCACCGCCACCGCCGGCGACCCGAGCGCCATCGCGGACGCGGCCGGCGACGTCGCGCTGACGACGCCGCTCGCGGCCACGGCGACGTCGCCCTGAGGCCCGCCGCCAGCCGCGGCGGCGGCGGCGCCCGGGCTGGAAGAGGAGCGGTCGCAGAGGTTCCCTGCGGCGCGCACCTGGGCCCAGAAAATGCTGGGGATGTCGGGCTGCTTGTCCGGGTTGGCCACGTTCGGGGGCGAGTTGAGCTCGGGCTTCGCGAAGTACAGGTCGCCGTTGGAAACGGCGGCCTGGGCAGGGGCGAGAGGACAGCGGATGGATAGGAGCGGCGGTCAGAAGGCCTGACGCTCGGCAAGGTCAATCGGGGCAGGTGCGGGCCGGTGCTGCGTATCATACGTGGATATTGCAGATAGAAACAACATGGCATGGCATGGATGTCTGCCATAACAACAGAGGCCGCCTCGTGCTCCGCTGAGCCCGAGCCCTTGCGTGCTTTGGTCTCTCGCACGTCTGGGCCGCCCCTCACCGATGACACGCGGAAGGCGCCTGCCACCTCCAGCTCGATGGGCACGCTGCTGCCCGGCTGCTGGATCTGCAGGGAGTCTTTCGGCCTCGAAAACTGGAAACCCTTCTGGAATGCCCGGGCCCGCAGGCGGGGCGACTTGGTGACGTCATCAGTCATGGACGTCAGCAGGTTGGTGTCTGTGAGCTTGATTACGGCCATGGTGTTGTAGTCGCCAGATTCCTCGCCGTTCTGTGGCAGTTGCGGCGGTTGGGGCGTTGGTTGGCAGTTGTGCAGGGGATAAGGTGCAAGGGGGCTGCGGTGCAGGTAGGGGGTGACCCATCTTTTGTGGTAGACGCATGAGCAGCATCAAAGAATTCCCTCTGGTCTGCTGTTGCCGGGCAGTGACAGGCATCACCGCCCGCACCGCAGATGTCATGCACACCTGCGAGACGAACAGCGCGCGCGCCGCGGCGGCGTCCGCCGCCGTCTGGGGCCGCGCCGGCTGCAGCTGCACCCACTGCGCCTGGCCGCCGCCCAGGCTCTCGGCCGACGCGGCGACCTGGAGGTCACTATAGACCGCCACAGGCAGCGGCGCCGCGCTCTGCGCGTCGTACAGCGCGGCCTTCGGAACGGCGTATATAAACGCGCCCGCAAACCCGTCCTTGTCCGTTGCCGAGTCGAGGGCGCTGCAGAGCACCTCGCCTGTGACGTAAACCCCGTATCCGTCGAGCGTGGACTGCGCGTTGTAGATCACGGGGTAGTGGGTGTCCGCGTTGCAGGCCGTAATGCCCGGGATGCCTCCGGGGTCGGGCAGCGCGAAGACCTTCCAGTCCCCTGCCGGGTCGTCCGTCATCGACGCCGCGAGCAGCGGCTGCCCCGGCCGCGACGTGTCCCAGTTCCAGTCGCTGTACGCCGCCGCCATGACCCACCGCCGCGCGGCGGCGTCGAACTGCAGCGTGGGGAAGTCCACGACGCTGTCGCCGGCCGGGGCGCCGGGCGGCAGCACGCCGGCGAAGAGCGAGGAGAGCGCGACCGGGTCCACCACGGAGCCGCCCGCGGCGTCGTACACGCCGGCGGCCTGGGCGGAGGCCTGCATCACGGTGACGATCTTCTGGCCGCCGTAATCGACGCTGGGGGTTGACGGCCGGTGCGGTGGTGGGGGTGCGGGGTGCGGGATGCGGGGTCATGGGTGCGGGGTGCGGGATGCGTGGGTGTGGGTGTGGGTGTGGGTGTGGGTGTGGGTGTGGGTGTGGGTGTGCATGCCAGTATGAGGATAGGCGGATATCTTGCGAAGCCAATAGCGCGCGTGTGCTGAATTGGGACAAGTGGTGATGGTGGGCCCATGGGGGGCATGGCAGGATAGCGCGGGGTGAGCAGCAGACAGGGGGGGGGAATTATGGCAGGGTGTCAACAACACCAAGCATGGCAGCAGACGCATTTGAAGATCCTCAAAGTTGCTTGACTCGGCTCCCATGCAAGACGTGCACGCAAGTGGTGACACCACCCGAACACTCTAAGGTCCGCATACCCACGTACAACCAAACATGCCCCACGCACAACCGCACACACCCGAACCCAATCACACATACCCCACTCACAATCACGCACGCACCTCGCCACGGCGAGCGCGAGGTTCAGGGGGTTGTAGCCGCCGTTCTGGCCGTACCCAACGCCCCAGAACCCGTCCGAGCTAACTCCGTCCAGCAGCGTCTCTGACGCGAGCGCCGACGCGCCTGGCGCCCGCCCCGCGGGCGCGCCCGCGGCCGCTAGCATGCCGGCCCTCACGATGTTGTCGCTGACGATGGGGGCGCTCTCAAACGCCGCCGGCTTTGAGGCCGACGGCATGACGGCTTTCTCGGCGGCCGGCGGCGCGGGGCCGGCGAGGCGCTTGGCCGCGAGCGCGGCGGCGGAGGCCTTGCGGGCGCGGAGGCGCGTGACCGCGATCCGGGCGGCGACGCGCGTGGTGAGGCTGCGGGTGCTGGCCGCCTGGGAGACCTCAGCCATGGGCTTGAGCTCTGAGAACTTGAGCTTTTTGGGAGCACCTGGGGAGGATGGGGCGTCCAATGGCGGTGAGGCAGTGAGTGGCAGTAGGGCACCCCCCGTCGGATGTACTGACAAGTAGTTTGCCCTCACAACCAGCTGGTGGTGCCTGCAAGCTGTCGCACAAAACTCAAAACGAAAACCTGAGGAGCCACGCGCAGTCTGTTGCAATATCAGGGATGGAGCCAATGACCACTTGTTGCGCCCATTACCCCCCCCCCTCGCCGTCGGAATTCTCACTCGACTTGAGGATTGCAAGTGCTCTCTGCTCTTCGGGGCACTGCTCCCGCGCCGCGGGCGGCTGCACGACCGGCGGCGCCCGCGGTGACAGCGGCGGGGGGACGGGAGTCGTGGAGGCCGGCGGCGGCGAGGCTGGGGAGGTCTCTGTGACCGGCGGCCGGACGAGGGGAGAAGACGGGACCGGGGGGGCGGGCTGGACTACCTCCGGCGGGGCCTTGGGGCCGGCGTTGGACTCCGCAGAGCCGGGAGGCAGGCCGCTGCCTGGGGTGCGTCGAGGGCGTGGATGCAGCGCTGTTAGGTGCTCCGTTTCCATTACCAGCGGCCCCAACAGCCCCAACTTGCTCTGCACGCGGCCTGCTGCCCTACGTGCAGCACATAGCTTTCAAGAGTGCATGCGCGCCTCGTGGGGGCCTCCGCTTGCATGGAGAACACCCGTGTGGCGAGCCATCAGATCTGTATTGTCAAGGCATGCATGCCCGCAGTGGTGCTGCGCTGCGCCTACCAAAGTTCTCCCCTCCCCCCACCCTTGCAGCTGCATCTCACCTCCCCACTCCATCCAGCAGGGGCTCTCCAGCGACATGGGCGTCCCCCTAAACCCTGAAAGCACCATGGTGCCCTTCTTCCACTGCTTCCGGCCCCACGACAGCGCCGCCGCGCGCCCCGCGGGCGCGGCGACGCCGGAGCCGCAGGACTGGGGCTGCTTTGGGGTCTCGAACGCGAAAAATGTCACCCAGGCGGCGGTGCCGTTGGCGTTCGGGGTGGATATAACCTGCTGGAGCCCCCCTTCGAGGGGCCCCACCAGCCGCGTCGTCGCGACGGCGGCCTCCTTGGGCCCGCCCTCCCGCGCGCGCACGCGCGGCTTCTTACGCGCGGCTGCGATCACCGCGGCCTCCGTCACGGGCGGGGAGGTGTTGCCGATCTTGCCGGTGAGGTTGAAGGATTTGGGGCCGTAGCTGAGGCCGATGACGTTGCCGCCGGCGTCCAGGCTGCACTCAACGTAGTAAATGGGCTTGTCCGGGCACCCAAACGGCGCTTTGTAGGCGGGTTCCGCCCCGCGCGTCGGCGCGTCGGCGCCGCGCTCGCCGTCGTCGCGGACGCGCGTGTCCTTGGAGGTGCGGGCTGCCGCTTCGAGGAGGGCGGCCGCGCCGCGCAGCAGCATGTTTGCAAACTGCGGGTTGAGCAGCGCTGGCGGCGCCGCCGCTGCCGCCGCCGCGCTCGCTGCGCATGCGCCGAGAGGATGGTCCGATTGAGGTTTTTGACGAGCATCTCGAGGTTTTCGTTCTTGCGTGCATTCAAAGCAAGGCCGCGCAAAACTTGTTGCGAAGTGCGGGTCCCGCCCGCTCGGCCGCGCCCACCTGAAACGCGAAGGGTAGGCGTGGATACGGCTAGTAGCCACACAATCACCACTGCGGCTTTCATTCTGCTTGCTTGGCCCTGTCGGGCCACCGCACTGTCAAACCCGCCGAGGGGCGAGTACTAGCGGCCTACAACGCCAGGCAGGCTTTTATAATCGTGACTGACTACTCGATACGTTGGCAGATAATGTATTCGCGCTTGTGGAATGCGCCGGGATGCATGTCGCGCAGCTTGCACAAGCTCATTCGCACCTGCCAACCCAGCTATCCCCCCAAGCGCCCGACTTTGCGCTGGAAATTGCCTCACAGATGCATGCAAAGTCGTGCGTAGACATCCAGGGCAGAAATACAAGTTGCACTTACTACCGGGGGTACCCCCCAAAGCGGTTTGGTGCACTCATCTGGTTGTGTGAGGGGAGGGCACCCGGCCGATGGGGCCAGCACTGGAAGTTTGATGCAGACACGGTGTGGCGCTTCACGCCCATCCCAGCTGCCCCGGTGTGCGTACTACATACAATGCTTTGGGTTGCGCTTGCGCTAGCAAGTCTTGCACACGCTTACACTGCAGAGCGGCGTGCTGCGGCAGCGCCTCTGCCATACGCTCATGTTGTGTCTTGTTGGCAAGAGCGGGTGGCTGAAACAAGTGGATGCGAAGTGGGGGCCAGGAGGGGCGAGTGGTGGTGCAGGCACAACACGACCGGCACAAGCAACCTCAAAGCAGCAGGGGCGGGCAAACCCACCGACGCAACGCGAGGGACTATACAGAGACAGGCATTGCAGGGCGTGGGAGCGGCGAGGCAGCTACCGGGCGGCTTCCGCAGGAGCGCGCCAGTGAAAACAATAACACGTTGCCCAAAACAATGCGCCATTGCGAAGGCCAGGCGGCTGCGCGGCCAGATGCCGCCAGGGGTTGCTTAAATGCGTGCATGCGTGAGGCTCGGCCGTCCCGCGGCGCTGCCCTGGGCGCGTGTCACACTACGAACCCCGATGTATGCCAAAAGCCATACGTCAGGCGCATCCTTGCGCCAACATCGGCGCCCATAGATGCGCATACCCCGAGGCTGCATCGGCTGCTAGCCGTGCACCCGGGATGCCGCAGGCTCCCGGGATCACGAGTCGCACGTCGGCCGCGGTTCGCAGCGTGCAGCAGCAGCTGCGGCCCCCACGCATGCTGAAAGGTGTGGGTTGCGTACGCCCATCGGGTGCGAGCGCCGGTGCTGAAAGGTGTGGGTTGCGTATGCCCATCGGGTGCGAGCGCCGGTGGCGGCGCGTCAGTCGTAGCCCAGGGCGACGTGGAAGCGCCCCCGCCGCCGGTCGTTCCACGCATACTCCAGACGCAGCGGCCCCAGGGGCGAGTCGATGCGCACGCCGGCGCCGTAGCCGTAGCCGCTGGGAGGTCGATGGGCGAGCCGTCGCGGTCGCGGGCAGGGTCGGTCCGGGTGGGTCGGGACTCTGAGCAAAAGCGGGGGGTTGTGTATCTACTGCAGCCCCCGCACGGCCAGCCGGGCCGGCGGCCGGCCACGGCCGGAGCTCAGCACTGACCTGCTACGCCGCAAATGGCGCACCCTTCCGCGCCCCGGCGTGAGCCCTCCTGGCCCCGCCTGCCTGGGCCAGCCTGCCCCGGGCCCCCAACCAGGATTACACCACCAGGGCCCCCGTTTCCCGCCTGTTATTCTTTTTTGCGCTTTCTTTGTTGTCTCACTTTCTTGTTTTGCTGTCGTTTTTTCCCGTGTGTCACCTCTATCGCACCTGCCCGGCTTGCCGCGCGCCCCCGCTGGGTCCCCTATGACGCTCTCCCCAGAGTCCAGGTCGGTGGCGTAGTCCGCAAACAGCGTACCCTGGACTGGCTTGTGGATAGTCCACCTGGGGGGTTTCCAGGGTTTGGGGGGGTCAGGGGTTGGGACGGTGTTTGCGGGAAGAAATTTCGGGAGGGGAAGGTGGTGGGTGGAGGGTGGGGATGAAGAGAGGTTTGCCAGCTCCCTGGGCCACAGGGGCTGCCGCTGTGGCGCAGGCAGCGGA